TTATCATACAATCTATCACACAAGGAGTCTTTAGGACTTGGGGTTGGTGGAGGTTTAGCATTGAGGTACTGGAGTAATTCTCTTTTGTTCCTTTGGATTTGGGAAAAGTGGGACAAAAAGGAAAGCTAAAGGAAAGAGAAACATAGGGAAGAAAATAATGGGAGAGAAGAGAAGGAAGTTGGAGAAAATGGGAAAGGATAGAAAATGAGGAAAGATCTGGGAGAAAATGGATAAGGGAGGGATTTGAAAAGGGTAATTTGCAATTTCTAGCCATCAGGGAGTGGAATTAATGCCTAAAAAGAAGGTGGGGAACAGCTCCCTCCCAATTTAAGCACTCATCTTTATGACTATCACAATTAATGGTTCCAGGTTACTAAATAATGGAATCCTGGGAAGAGTAAGGTGCATTGGGCATAATAACAACAGAAATATATGTCCTGGGCCCACCATTTTTTCCCTTAGGAATGAGGAAAACTATCCATAATAATAACAATAATAACAAAAACCCATTCACTCAAATACTGTCTGTAACATTAATGAAAAATACTCAATTTCATTCAATAAGCTTGTTTTAACCACCATTTGACAGGCATCCTGCTAGAGGCTGGGGATATCTCCATTTTAAAAAACATCCACATTACTTATCATTGCTCTTTTCAAATTTAGACCAGTCCATGACACCTCAGACCACACCACCCCCCACCTTGGAGGTTCCAATCTCCTTAATAACAGATATGTTCTTCCCACCCCCTCCCCATTTCAGTTCCCTTTTATGGGTGGTATTCCTTGAAGGCAGGGCAGTCTTTCTTTTTGTTTGTATTTGTATTTCTAGTACCTTGCACCTGGTGAACTTAATAAATATTCTCTCTCTCTCTCTCTCTCTCTCTCTCTGTCTCTGTCTCTCTCTCTCTCTCTCTGTCTTTCTCTGTCCCTCTTACTTTCTACATTAAAAAGGAGATGAGTTGGAAAGGATTGAAAGACCTGCATGACTAATACATTTCTTCCATGGTTGGGTGGAGAACCTGATATTGTCCATAAGAGTAAAAGCATTGAAGCTAGGACCTTGCCCCATTCCACAATAGATAATTTGGTGATGATTCTGTGTGTCTCTGTTAGACAGGGATAGAAAAAGATGCTGAGGGTTATTACTCTGATTGCACTGTTAGGCCAAGCTTTAAGTGATTAGCAGACAACTTCACAACTTGAAATGCCAACCCAGTATAGGAGAGAGGTAATGAGCACAATTACCTGACTGGATGGTAAGGGCACATTTTTCTCTGTTCTCTTTAACTCGTTTATATCTCCTAGCTCCAAGCCACCCCTTGGCATAAGCCTGTATGATCACCACCCTGCCTATAACTTCTCGAAGCAGCAAATTTAACTGCTCTATGTGGTAATACTTGAGAAAAACCTGAAACAAACAACAATTTCAATATTAGTCAAGGCAACAAGCATTTATTAAGAAGCTGTGTGAATTTTTTTAATTAAAAAAATTTTTTTTAAAAAAAGGAGCTATGTAGCAGGCACTGTGTTAAGCACTGTATTATACACACACAGGCATGAGAAGAAAACATGACACTCTACACACAATACTCCAAATAGAAAAATGAATAGCTTCATCACCAGGAAGTCTTTGCTGTACTATAATCAGTACAATCAGAAATCAAACAAATAATCATCTGGGGGGGAGGGGGAAGCCAAAGCAACCTGTTATTAGTTTAACCTGTGAAATGTAGGTGTTGCCACAGTGAGTAATGATAAGTTACTCCCTTCTTTTCATTATTCTCATTACATAGGTGACTTGTTTAGCATATTCTAATACACTCCATTTGTAAAGGACAATTTATCCTTGAATATGTGCAGTAACAGGAAGCAGGTATAATATGGCAAAGGAAATCAAAAGCTAACCCCTGAGCTTCTGTTCAGCCAATAACTTTGATTTTCCCTCCTGCTACAGCTTTTACCTGAGCTACTACCAGCTTTGAGGTTTTATCTCATCTCTCTGACCCCGCACCCCCTCTACTGGAAGTGCTAACAAACAGAAGCAGCTTAGAGGCCAGTAGAAAAAAAAAGGGAGAAGGAAGGGACCTGTGTAGTCCCCAAATGAGATCTTCAGAACACTGAATAATAATAACAAGAGCATTTCAATGCTTATGTTCAAACTGGATTCCTGGTTCAGTTTGTGGTTGGCAATTTAAGCATTGTATTCCATAGGAAAGAGATAGTAAAACCAAAGGGAATAATTACAAAAGGATGAAATACATTGGGGGCACTTAGTTACTGCATGTATAACACCTATACATAATGTAGCTACATGTTCCTACTCTCCAAATTCAGATTTAAAAAAAAATAGTTTGGTTGCTGTCATTGACATTAATGACATGTCCAATAAAGGCAGGGCATAGGCAGGAGCATGAGAAAAAAAAAGGAAAAGATGTTTTAAAAATATCCAACTGCTTTATAACTCCATATTCAACTCAATTAATTTCATACACTTAATAAATATTAAATACTGATTACATTTAAGGCAATGGGGATATAAAGACAAAAAAAAGGAAACAGTCCCAGTGTTCAAGGCCGTGCAATGGAAGGAAGCTTCATCCTCTCCCCTTTAAGGTCCTGCCATACCTGACCAAAGGCACCAAAAGTCATCTCTAAATTAAGATGCTACTTACTAAGCCAGGGGCGGGACACACTGTCATTCAGATCATTTATTTAACAGAATCTTCAGAGAATAGAGGTGAACATTTATGACATGATGGTGCCTGATATGCTGAAAAGCAAAGATAAAAATTACCTTTGTTTTCCCCAACACCCAGTGGTCTAGTTTGGACTTTTCCAAGATAGCAATGCAACTTTCTTTGTTAGCAAGTGGTGACTGATGTGCTCTGAATGCTAAGTAATAGTACCTAGGAGGCAAAGAGAGAACAATTAGGTACATGCTTCAGAGTCTTTGAATGTAGTGAAATACGACTGTGATGGACACAATAACACTCTATGGTCTATTTATTATTAGCGAGACTCTTCAGCACAACAATAATAACGTATCACACGAATTACTTCAAAGATGATAATGTTACAGTGGGTAAGTAGAAATCTGTGGTTTATACTTCCTGTGTCCTTGAGATTTTGCTATAATGTCTCATTTAGCTTTTAGTTGTGGGAGAGGCAGTACAACATATCAGAGAGAGCATTACTTCAGGGTCAGAAGGAATCGGGATCTAGTCCAGCCGGCATAAAATGGTTCTTGGTGTCTCTGAGCAAGTCACTTAACTTCTTCCTGCCCTAGACAACTCTCCATGACTATAAATTGCAGAACAGTTGCTAGTTTGCATTACTACAGGGATTTTTCATCAAGAGTTCTGATTCCCATGAAATCACAGATCTGGAACCTTTCCACCAAATTATCTAATTTTGTTATTCTGCTAGATATGATTTTATTGATTTGGATCTGATATTTAATATGCAATTTAAAAATACTGGATAATAGCTTCTTTTGAATGCAAAACTAACTCTTTTGTGCCTCATATAATTCCAAGCTAGATGCTAGCAGTTTATATATTAAAAGTAAACACTGAAAATGGTGGCAGTAAATCAGACTACTAGGGAGGCTGAGGCCATCTGATTGTTATCCTCAGGAGTGCTGAGGTAAATGGGCTATGCCAATTAGGTATTCACACTAAGTTGAGCATTAATAGAATAGGCCTCTTGGGAGTATGGGATACCTGGTTGCCTAAGGAGGAGTCAATTGTCTCAAGTAGGAAATGGAACAGGTCAAAGGTCTAGAGCAGAACTTCTAGCCTAGGTGGCTAGGTGGAAGGCACAAAGGAAGGACAGAAGGAAGGAACAAAGGAAATGGTATTGCATTTCTTTTGTGGCAGTGGGGAACTGGATCTATGATTTCACTAATGTTGGAACTCCCTATAAGAAAATTCTCTCTACATCAATCAGTGAAGATAGGAACCAGCTCTGCAAGTTATAATTTTATGATGCTACAGTATTACTATTTTCAAAATAATCTTTAACTCAATTATACATATTTTCAATGATCTTTGGAAGCAATTTGCAGGCAATGCAGAATGTATGCAGACTGCCATAATACAACAATGCAAAACAGTACCTACATTTATGGAATAATACTTTGTGTAAATATATTTATTTTCATGATACCAATATTTCAGTTCTCGTTTTACAGACTTGTTTTGGTACACTTCTGAACTTTCAGGTGAGTTTTTATTTTTAATTCAAAGAATAATTTAAGGAACTTTTCCATTTTTCTTTAAAAACAAAAACAAAACTTCTTGAACATATTATCACTTTAAGAAACCTAGCCAACATTTTTTTTTCTTTAAAAAAGAAATTCAAAGATGTTTTCCTCCTTTTCTCTTTGCTGCCATATATAATAAATTTAACCCCTTGGAAGCTTAAAAATGAGCTGAATTTCCTTGCCAAAAAGATTTTTCTGCCATCTCTCTCTCTTTCTCTCTCTCTCTCTCTCTCTCTCTCTCTCTCTCTCTCACACACACACACACACATAAACCCACCCCTAATCTTTTACCTTTGGGTTATACTCAAATAGAGAGCTGCTTCCACTTAAATAAAAAATGTAAAAACCTATTCCCTTACCCTTCCCACTCTCATATCATTGTCCTGAGAGATAATTGGTTAGTACTTGAGACTTTTAACCTTTTAGCTCAGACCTAGGTGATTTTTTTTTTAAAGTTTAAGTTTATCGCCAGGCTCTTTGGAAACATTTGTATTCAGAGATCCTGGGAACCCTTTCAGCCTCTAAGATATCCCAACTTCCACTTTTGTGAGGAAATGGCAAGGCACATTCTAGTGCAGAGACTCTAGTGGGTAGGCTTGGGCAAAGCCATAGGGCATCTGGGCCAATGCCCAGTGGCCTACTGAGACACATGGCTTCTGGTGCCTAGGGGGGTGGAGGAGGAGCAGTGGAAGCCAGCTGTCGGCCTCTGCCCCTCCTCAGCAGGAATGACATCAGCACAGATTCCCTTGCCCTGCCTCATCTCTAGCTCCCCACTGTTATAGCTCAGTATGGTTTCCCTGTCACAGCCTGGCCTGATCTGATTTTGGGGATGATGGAAAGGTAAGTATCTCCAGTGGGAATGGGTGTGTGAAGGAGTATGTGGGGAGGGAGGTGGGGTGTGTGACAGAAAACCCAAGCACAGAATGCCTGAGGCATGCAAAATCAGTAGTTAGATTGAGACTGGAAGCTAGAGTATGACACTCCATCTCCATTTCTCTGCATTTGCACTGGCTACCCCAGACTCCTGAAACGTACTCCCTTTTTTACTGTTGTTCAGTTGTGTTTGACTGCTTGTGACCCCATTTGGGGTTTTCTTGGCAAAGATACTGGAATGGCTTGCCATTTCTTTCTCCAGCTCATCTTACAGATGAGGACATGGAGGCAAATAAGGTTAAGTGACTTGTCCAGGGCCACACAGCTAGTAAGTGTCTGAGGCTGGATTTGAACTCAGGAAGATGAGTCTTCTTGACTCCAGGTCCAGTACTCTATGCCCTGCATCTCCTAGCTGTTCTACACCCTCCTTACCTTGAATCCCTTCAATCTCTGCCTTCAAGTCATAGCTTCAAGCACTGCATTCTGAAGGAAGTCTTTCCCGATTCCAACTGCTGATGTCCTCCCTATCAAATTACCTTGCATTTAAGTACTTTGTAAATATTTGTATTAACTTTAATATTTAGGATGTACTTGTCTCTTCCATTAGAATGTAAGTTCCTTGTGAATATGTATTTTTGCATTCTTTGTACTTTTATTCCCAGCCCTTAGTACAGTGCCTGGCACATAGTAAGTGCTTAATAAACATTTATTTATTGACTACCTGGTATCTAGTCCCACTAGACCATGACTTTACATGGACTTGTACATCAATCTTTTGACCCTTGTACATAGTAGATTCTCAATAACCGTTGCTGGTGATAATGAATATTTCCTGAGCACCTACTTTGGACACTATGGGGAACATACCAGATATAGAAGATAAAGTTCCTGGTGTCAGATCTGAAAAGGAGTTGTTTGCTTGTTTGTTTTTTAAAGCAGAGTCAGAACCCTCATCTATAAAGACAGGTTGAACTAAACAGCCTTTAAGATCCCCTTCTGACTCCAGGAGACTATGTCAGACTGTCCTGACTGGTTTGTGGTAGAGGTCAGCAGTTTCTAATTTCCAAGTGAGGAGGATGCACACAAGGGCTAATGTGTCCTGGGAAATTAATTATGGACTTTACCACTTGAACCCATATTTTTTATTTAGAGATGCTAATCCAGTTCATGCTTGTGGGCCTTCAGCTCCAGAAGAATCAAGTTACAATACCTGAAAAGAAGTGAGGTAATTAAACTGCCCAGGAAACATAAAGTTTCTAAAGCAATTGGGTAATCATAAAAACGTTCTTCATTATTTCCCTCCTTCTGTACAGTATTAGTAGACGTTCTGGCAAAGGTGACCTAGATATGTAGCACATCCTAGGGACTCCAGGACCATGTCTTACCTGAAGGGACCCAAGCCAAATAGTTAAAATACATCTTGTTTTGTAGTCCAGTTGGAGTGCTTTACTGAGCCTCATAGTCAGGAGATGACCAAAAGAATGAGCACATGTAATTTCCTTTCTGTACCTGTTCTCATAGACTGAACTGGCAGAGGAGCTGGTGGAGGCAATCAATAAATCAATAAGATTATCTATGGGAAAAATCAGTTGTGGGAGCTTGGACCATTTAGGGAAATGTAAAGACTCATTTCTATGTTGCATTCCCTCTTTTTTCATAGTGTTTATCCTCAAATTAGTTTGGAATTTGAAGGAAAAGCTGCAGGGGTCTGAGCTAATCTATTTCCCTTGTTGCTACCTGGTCTAAATACACAAATCATTGCCCTTATTATGAAATCAGTGTATGTCTCTGTCCAAAAATCCCATTTGATTTCTGTTTAAAATTACCGCTCATAATGTTCTATTCTAAGTCTCAGAAACAGGTACCTAAATCTTTGGAAGACAACATTTTGAGATGGAACATTGACAGGAAAAGAGATGGAAAGAGAAATATCCTATTATGTTTCAAACAAACTATACCCAACTCTGGTTAAAATAGTAAAATAGCTGAAGGACAGAAGTGAAAAAAAATTACCCTTGTAACTGGGAGAAAAGTAGTCACAGGGCCTTTAAAACTACTGTAGATAGTCTACATAAATTTTTCATTCTCTTCTACCACACATAGAAAAAGGAAATAGGAACTTCAAGTTCATGGAGACTGGCCATAAAGGCCTTTTCTGGATATTGCTATTGAAAAGCTTAGGCAAGTGAAAAGATCATCTGTGGTTGAGAAAACAATCTTCACTGAGAGATTAGCGTGTTAGGGTAGTTTGACATTGAGTCCGCGCCAAGATTATGAATGAGCCACCAGGAAGACTCGGGGCATGCTTGTTGGTGAAGAAAGAATTGACTATTTGTAGGGGGGAAAAAAACTGCTAATGGCACTATGGACCTCAATTTACTTTTAAATTTTATCTAAATATCTTATAAAAGAGTGGTTAGAATGCTAAACTATAGGAGAGGGCAGAACCAGCAGTCCTGATAGTTATGTTAGATGATTTTGTTTAGTTACATTTCTTTCCCTCAAAAGAAAGGGAAAGAGGTGGCAATTGAACAATGAGAAGTAGTTATATTACAACAAAATGTACAAAATTTAAAAAAAGAAATAAAAAGGGTAGTTGGTTAAAGTCATTGACAGTCAAACAAAATCAATCAAACAAATGTTTATACAGCACTCTCCAGGAATACAAAAATGGGACAAAAAATCACAATCTCTAAGTTCAAGGAACTTACAAACTAATTGGCGGGGGGGATTGGATGGATGGTATAATAATACTGACTCACACAGAAGCATGGATCTAGAACTAAAGCAACTTCAGTGGCCATTAAACTCCATTTTACAGGTGAGGAAACTAAAGTCCAGAATAAAAAGATGAACCCAGGTGTTACTCCTAACTCCAGAGTCAATGTTCTTTTGCTGTACCACACTGCTTTAAGACGTGCTTCGCTGACAATAATTCTCTGAAGTAATTAGTGAATGTGTCGTTATCACCATTTTACTGATAAGGAAACTGAGACTTGGCAAGTTTAAGGGCTATTTTCATGGTCAAACAAAACCAAGATTCCAACTGAGTTCTTGTGCTCCAAAGCCCACCATTCTTTCCATTAGAACATGCTGTATAAAAGTCAGCATTACACAGCGTAGAATGTGATCAAGGCAAAGGGATGCAGCTGCTAAACAAATTAAGAAATATGAGGAGGGAGAGGAAATTTTTACTGGGGGTGGAGTCAAAAATTTGTTCTTTTGATGAATAAAAGAGTGGAAATTAGGCTTATGTTGGTTATCAGGAAACCTATTAAATACCCACACCAATGAAATCACAGAGTAGGTTATTTTTCTTTCGGTGGGAGGTATTAATAGCTGATATTTCTATGCCATACAGTTTATAAACCAGGACCACAGATCACAGAATTTAAGAGCTATTTAAGAGCTATACTCCATTGCATGCCAAGACAAAAATTCCCTTTACACGTACTAGATATGTGATCTTTTAGTCTTTGAGAGAATATTCACTATTTCTTGAGGCAGTCTAATCACTTTATATCTCATCCCATCCCCATAGCCATGATATAGGTAATAAAAATACTGTGATCCTCATTTGATATGGGGAAACTGAGGCCCAGAGAGACCCAATGACCTAAGGTCACAAGGCCAACCGTGGCAGACTTCCAGGCCTTCTTGAGACAGTTGGGTGGCACAGTGGACAAAGAACTGAGCCTACAGTCAGGAAGACCCAAGTTAAAAACAAGCCTCAGACACTAGCTGTGTGACTCTAGGCAAGTCAATTAACCTCTGTCTCAATGGGGAGGAAAGGACTGAGTTCTCTCTCTCCTACCCTTGACCAGACTGATGAACTTTTGAATTTCAGATGAAAGGTTTGAGGGGAACTCACACATTCTGCAGCCAGGATGAAAAATAGAAGAGAGGTTCAAATGAGGGCAGGTCATTCGCTGTAAAGATTCACTGAGGCATTGGCTTTTCCTGCCAGGTCACCAATGAGGGGATTATTTCATCATCCTCAAGTGCCATTGAGTGCCGAATCACAGTTGGCTAAAAGCAGCTAGAGGTTTTGTAATCCTCAAAGCACTTAAGCACTGAGGTAGTCAAGGTGTTCTGCTGGAATAAGGTAGGGCAGTATTGTACATGCCCTCTTCAATCTCCAGTTCCATGCAAAATAAATAAAAGGTAGTTTGAGAAGAGACTGTACAAGCAGCTAGGGAGATTGGGAAAGGTTTCATTAAGATGGTGAGACTTGAGCTTAGATTGGAAGGAAACCAGAGATTCCAAGCCTTAGAGATGAGGAGTTAGTGCTTTCCAGGCATGGCAGAACCCAGTGCAAAGACACTGAGACAAGAATTAGAATGTCCTAGGTATAGAACATGGAGTTGGCCAGTGTGACTGAATTGCAGAGTGTGAGGAGGGAAAGTAATATGTAAGAATATAGGAAAGGAAGGAGCTAGGTTGTGAAGAAATTTAAATGCCAAACAAGATACTGGATAAGAGAGGTAAGAAGGCATAGAAGGTGGTGATAGTTTCAGGCGTGCACCTTTAGGGAAATCACTTTGGCAGTTGAACGGAGGATGTACTGGAGTAGGGAGAGACTTGAGGCAGGGAGATCAACTATGACAGTATTGCAATAGCATGAAATCATGCAAAGGTCAAGAGATGATGAGAGCCTAAATTAGGACTGTGGCTGTGTGAGGAGAGAGAAGAAGATGGATGTGAGAAGTGTTGTAGAGATGACTTATGGGAGACAGTATAGGGTTGAACTGGATTCACTAAAGTGTTGAGTTTGGGAAGGGATTAGAGTGTGAGTAGAGCAAGGGTGATAGCCTGGTAAAGTTCTGAGAGATTGTAGGAGAAATTGTGTGTAATAGCGAGGAGGCAGAATGTGTTTATGAAGAGGAAGGTATGGGCAGAGATAGAATGATAGGAGATTCTGACCAGATAAAGGAATTTCTGAGTTCTTGATCATGAAGGAGAGCATT